TATATACTTAATTTTAATACCCTTATAAGTTACCCTTTAAGATGTCCCATGATTTACTAGTAATGTGGATTACAAATCAGTTTGGCAGTAAAAATAAGAATGAATAATAATGATGTCGGCAGAGTATGAACTTGCTGAGACGTGAATAATCCTTGTACCAGTTCAGACTAAATATTCAGTTTTAAGGCCTTTACACACTGGGTCGGCATTTAAAATCCTTCAGTTTGGCCATATTGGTAAGATGATCTTGTTGTTGCCTCTATGTAGGTGTTTAGACTAAGGTCAGAGTCGGCTATAACACAAAGGGGAGATGCATTTTAATATGAAACAGTTTGGTGAAATTTGGTACAATTCGAAGCAATCTGATAAAGTTAATTTATTTTCCATTGTAAATGAAAATAAGCCAATTCTATAAAAGTGGCATTGCTTACCTTCAAATACATATATTTTATAACAAAACCAGGGAATCCCAAGACTTTCTGCCGTAACTACCTAACCCAGTTGACCATCGATCGGTTCTTGGCTCATTTAGATTGAACCAGTACGTGGACCACAGGTGTAGTTGCATCAGTAATGTTAAAACTGTTTTTCTACTCGTATCGGTAAATCCCTCTAGTGTACAGATTAAGACCTCCATTTTGGTTGGATATTACAGGAAAAGGGTGGGTAGGTCACGCCTCATGTAATGTTTTATAATGATGTTAATATGTTCATCTCCACAGAAAGAGGAAGAGGAGTCTCTGTGGAGGAATCAGACCTCTCGTGCTGTGCTGTTGTGTCAGCGATGAACCTGAGGACACACCAGCCTTCTCACAGTCTGTGCACCCCCCTGGTTCCTGCAGCAGTGCATCACCCGCCCCCTCATCAGCTGGACCAGTTCTCCGGTTCACCAGAAGCACCTCCACCTGTCCCCCAGTGTGGAGACAAGACTCCAGAACCAAGACACTGGACATACAAAACAGCAGTCAGACTGTACAAAGTAAGACTGGAACATCTGTCTTCGTTTTATTATATGTCGAAGTAAGCAAAGAGTCACCTTAAAAATTTGTTTTACCAC